TTTACTGACACAATTCTTTATATGGAGCTTTAATTATATGTTGTAATTGATAATTGATAATTAATAATAATAATTGTATTGCTGTATTTTAAATGTACAATTATTAAGGGGTTTCGAAATTATATCACTCTTCTTTTCAGTTGGACAAAATATTTCATATTGTAGGGTGTAATATTAAATTTGTTCTTTACTGAAGTAGAGTTATTATTTCGACGCCACCATATGTGAGTATTTTAAGGAAAAGATGAAGGAACAAATATATATACAATACAATTGACTAGTCAATGACAATACATGCTCATATCCTGCAAAAACATGCTCATATACTGTACTAGTCGGGAAACGGTCCTTACTAGACCTAGACAATTTGAATAGTACAGTACTGAATATACATAATATACTGAATAGTACAGAAAAGTACAGTACGCCATTGGGAGGCTCACGCTCACATCGTTGGGCAAGCTTTTATGATATCAATGGTATTTCCGCTCGGGCATTGTAAAGTGCTGGAGAGATAGACAGCAATTGAGATAAGGCTTGTCTGAGTTGTTCCGGCTTCTCTAATGTATAAAATGTAAAAATAATCAAAAATATATAATTCTGAGCAATGTACAGACTAAACTCTAATTATATTTATGAAGATTTATTGTTTGTTTTGTTTAGGCCTACCTTTGACTCACGATATTTAATAGTGCTTTGAAATAATAAGCGCTTCTTGTAAAAATATTTTAGCATTTTTTGGACCCGGCCTTATTTTTTTGTGTTTTCCACAAATGTTTCCCGAATTAAAGCTGTTACCAGTAAACATTTCTTGCGCGTATTTATTTGATCTGACTTTAGGTAGGTTTAAAGATTACCTTGGTGACATATTGTTACCACTGTAACAACATGATGTGTATATTCATGTTTTTTTTTTTTAAGTTGCTTAATATATCTGGCAAAAATGATTCATCTCCCGAAGTATGATTGTGTACCTGGATTTACTGTGAGACCAGGCATCTCCTCTACTCATCTAATACGTATAATATTTCCTATTAATTGTCTCCTCCTCCTGTTTTCAATATTTCTCCTTTAAACTCCAGAAATTTTCTGTTCTTCCAGCAAAACTGATTTACTGTTTAGATTCGTCTATAACCGCAATCAAGAATCAAGAACTTTTATTTCCACAAAATGGCATTTTGAAAATGCAGTTAATTACTGGAAAACGTCAGTACAACTACAGCTAAAATAAAAACTAAAATAAGAGAATGGTACAAGGTTTCTTACCAATATCAATATCCTATCCTATATCCTATACTCTAATATGAACAATGTTTGCTTGTATGTATGTATGCATGTATGCTTGCACCAAGATCTCAAAAACGGCTCCGACGATTTTCTTCAAATGTTGTAAATAGTTTATTACTGGCCTAAAAACGAGTTTACTGCAGTTAGAACTGCCAACAAAAATCGTCTACGTAGAAAAATGAAACTGAAAGTCACATTTCGTTAACATTAGTCTTATGGGTTGCTTAGTAACCATCTTGGCTGAATTAAATAACAAGGAAAAAGTAAACAAAAGACTTGTAAGTAGTCTATCCACAGTAGTAGCAATTACAAAATACAGTAAAAAAGGAAAAACATCAGTTTTTCAAAGCTATACCAATGGTCTATTAATGAATCTTAGTACAGGTACTTTTATTATCAATGCTAGGTAGACGTGTAGTACACACAGATGAATGATGGATCGATTTCATTCGGCCCCCTCCCCTGAGTCACCACAAGTACGACTCATTCTTCATTGGGGCCCGTAACGTAATACTCACTGACGAATTCCACAACAATAGCCCCCAACGTGCTGCTTGTATCTGACTCCCCATCACTGTCCTCGGGGCCCATAGGGGATTCTTCATCCGAATCATCCCTATAATCGAGGAATTCCGCAACAACAGCCCTAAACGTACGCATACTGCTTGTATCTGACTCCCCATCACTGTCCTCGGGGCCCATAGGGGGTTCTTCATCCGAATTAACAACAGCCCTAAACGTACGTATACTGCTTGTATCTGACTCCCCATCACTGTCCTCGGGGCCCATAGGGGGTTCTTCATCCGAATCAACAACAGCCCTAAACGTACGTATACTGCTTGTATCTGACTCCCCATCACTGTGTTCGAGACTGTTCGGCACCTCGTCGTGTGACATCTTGCTTTATAAGTACAGTAATATAAGATTCAAATTTTATACATATGCCCTTTAACCTTAATCTAACAGTAATACGCCTTGCTTATACGAAACAGACACACAATTATTATCCTACAGAAAGCATTTCCTACAATTCTTATCGCTTATAAAAAATCATTCAAGCTCACCAAAGTTCTTACTTAGTGACCACGGCAACGGCGACCAGGATGGTGACGATGTTGGATGGTGACGATGTTGCCAAAACGCCCCCGTGATCATTGGACCCCTGCCTCGTCTCGCTGTTGGTAGATTCCAACTATCATGTAGCGGCGAACGTCTTCTATCTTCTCGCTTCTTTCTTCTATCTTCTATCTACAAACGAGCGGGTCGACACAGATAAAAAATCAGTCTCTTGAGACGATAATGTCCGAACTATCCCGCCCGTACCGGTCGCGAGAAAAGTCCAAGGGTCTACAGGAGTAATCGCTGCCACCACTACTCTAATTAAGGGAGAGTAGGCCCTAATGACACAACGGAGATAAAAAGAGATGATAAAATAATTACTAGGGATGATGAATAGTTTTGATGCTGAAAAAGTTTGAGAAATGATGTGTGAACAGTATGATGAGTGAAGCGCGATTGTTGACACCCCACAACAACCCATCGTTATATATCAACGCAACAACCCCCACGATGGAACACCCCATGACCCCACCTCCCCGTGATCTTACACTCAAGATGAGTGTGACGGCTTCAGTTAAACCTTCCACTTAACTCCCACTTTAGTTGTTCACGTTCGGAAGTAAAAAATATTAATTGAAGTCAGCTGTAAATACTAATAAGAGGTACAAATTCTGCTCCCAAGATTCTAAAGTTTTATGATTATGAGAATAATTTGATGAAAATATTTATGAAAATGTACTTATTTTCATGGAAACAAAAGGGTAATTACAATGTATAATTTTTTTTTGAATAATCTTGATATGGTAGCTTTTTGTTTGAAAATTTGAACTCATAAAAAAATGTTTGGATCAGGATTAATAGGTTTTTAACTAAAACTATGAGATAAATGTACAGGTTTAAAAATTTTACTAACTCAATGTTTACACTTTTATTTGTGTTTTAATTCAATTTACAAACTAAATTTCAACTGTATCTGAAATTTACTTTGTAGTCGGTTGTACAATGGTTGTTTACGGTCTGTGCCGATTTTGGAGTCGATCGATATAATTTGTGCAGGATTTCAATACAGATCTAAATACACATTTACAGTTAATAAAACATTTTAAAACTTATTACTGCGTATCCACCTGGCCTATACCTAGTAGTAAATACACACTATCTCGTTAATATAATTAATGTATACAGTTAATAATATCTCATTAATAGCATTAATGTATTCATACTTACCGTGTTGGTACTCGACTATATTTTTTTGTATGTTTTGTCAGTTGTCTTTCAAATATACAATAGAAAGAATATTTTTATAGTACTGTTAATAAAAAAAGGTTAAGTATCAAACATTAATACTTAAAAACTCGAATACAAACGACAGTTACTGTATTTAGACGATATGATACGACCACCTTGTGTTGTTCACTAATATTTACACCCAATATACTCCACTCTACTCTTGTATATGTCTTATATGTGCATTTTCACCTTTTTCAATTGGGTGAAAATAATTTAGGTGAAATCCGTCGATATCGACGGTTAATGTCAAGACTTACGCTAAATCATCTACGGAAAGTAAGGTGTAGTGGAATATACTTGAGTGAAGTTGGTTTTTATTCTCGGATTGTTAGGCACCTCCTCGTTCCAGTTGCTGTAAACTACTATTATAATTTGACAAAATATGGACACGGCTCAATGCGTGCCCTTCTGCACTTGTATTATTTTTATTGCATTACACAATCAAAGATTTTCCAATGACTGGAAACATGTATGACAATAAACCATAAGCCTGTGATGGTCTGTCTATAATATGATCAAATATAGGCAAAAGTGGTGAAAAAAAGCAGACAACAAACCGTACAACAGATATAAGATAGGATAGTTCAATAAGAAATTACTGTGAGAATTCTGCGATAAAAGGATTTTCCATTGATTTCGTAATGGAACGTTATATTGCAAAACATGACATGATAAAGAAGAAAAACAATTTTAAAATCAGAAATTACCACTGCATATACCTCTTTTGGACAATTCAGTAACTCCCAATAAACGTGTGTTGTTTAAAACAAAATTTAAAAATTAACAGCTGTTCCATCAAAAAGTATTATTATGCACATGGCCAGAATGTAAACAAATCTGTCGAGGGATCTTTAAAAGGCTTCTGGGGCAGATCCCTAAGGGAAATTATATTTGTTTTCCTTTTGATAACTCATCAACAGACCAAGACCTTTATTTTGACACCCCTACCTCGTTTCTACGCCCAGTCGTTCTCTCAAATTAATGGAGACAAAGTTTCCAATTACTTAAATATTTAGATTCCCCCATATTAATATTATGGGAGAAAACCCAACTTCGATGGAAGATCCTGCCCAAACTAATAAAGATATGAAAAGAATTGAAAAACACTTAGCATAACTACAGATCAGGGCCATCGTTTTGACACATTTTAATCATCAAACTGTCCAAAAATGAAGTTTAAATGTTTTGTGCATTTTCACCTTTTTCTATTGGGTTCATATTATGGTATTAAAAGTAAAACGAACATTTAAATGAATAGGAGATACAATTTATTTTATTAAATGAATAGATACAATTTATTTTAAAGTACCTAGGAAATAATCACCTTTTAGATAAATTACAATATGATAATAAATTAAAAAACACTTTTTAAAATGCTATGTTTTAAACACACTAAAAAGTGAAAATAATTAATAAATATCTTAGGAGAATAAATACATAAATTATTTTCTACTGTTTAGTCTTTAATATGTAAATATGTTGAATCTATATTATATGGCATGTTAATACATAACCAAAAACCTTATTATATGTAAGTGTTTTATATATTTAGAATATCTTGAGAACAGAACTTGTACCTCTTAACATCTGCTCATCAAACTGTCAAATTTAAGTATCTATAATTGACTTAAATTAATTGATATATTTGCATTCTTTCAGAATGTAAACATGGCAAATTTGGAAGCAAATGGGGCGTAGCCCAAGGAAAATATGAAAATTAAATGATATAATATTACATTGTCAACCATCTGTGCATTGTCGTCCATTTGTGAGCTAAACTTCAAGCTTCTCTTTAGCTCATAAATAATACTTTTACTACTATTCAGATTCGTTAATACTGAAGATTTACATATATACCTCGCCGAACCAAACTTCCCCGAGACCGTTGTCAATAGAACTGGCTGAATGACGTTCTTCTCAGTCAACAACATAGATAGAAAGCCCCACCCCATACTATCCTCTGTATGAGTCATCCAATTCCATAGCTTGCCTGACGAAGTCACTTATTGTGCAGTGAGTTTCTTGTTCAGTTGTTTCTTCTAGAACTATCCGGCCAAACCCCCGCAGATGGGTGACATAAGCAAATGGCAGTGACCAGAATACATTTTTTATCTGGTCACTGTCAGCTGCTATTGGGAACCGACCATTCATTTTCCATGTTAAGATTATGGTCTTAACCATAAGGTCAGCGGTGCCTCAAACTGTCGGTTCCGTGTTCGTCCCGAACAGGACGAAGGTTGCAAAATCATTAATCTTTGCCAACCTGCCCAACATTTGCATGAAGTTTCCATGATGTTGGCGGAGTTTTTCTTCCAGTCTTTTTTTCAGATCTGCATATTCGGTATTTTCCCCTTGTATATGGTTGCGGGATAGTACCCGCACCTCCTCGGAAATGATCTTATTCATTTCCCTAGCCCACTGTTCGATGGTTTCCCATCGAACGGTCACTAGGGTGTCATGGAGGTGCATTGTACCATACAACGTTAGACAGAAGTCTAACGCCCGGCTTTTCTTTTCGTCTTCACATGATCTTAAAACACTAATCAGTTCTACAAGATCTCGCACTTGCTTACCAGCAATAGATACCGTTATGAATCTGATTTTATCCTTAATTATTCTGGTGTAGTTTACAGTGAAGTTTTTGTTTATCATTGATTCTTCAACCATTCTTTCAACCAATCTTTGTGTAGCTATATATTGATTTGGCCGTATACAGTTCATCTTTGGTTGGTCTTCGATCGCACGGCCACCCTTGAAAGGATCACTGATGTTGACACCCAATGCAAACCACTCTTTCTCTACGGGTCCGGACCCGTAGAGAAATCGTGGTTCACATAGGGTCATCGGCGGGCTCATTGGTGGTGTTGGTTTGAATGAGACTCCTTTTAAAATGTTTGACTGTTTTTGTTGTTGTTGTTGTTGTTGTTGTTGTTGCTGATTGCATATAGATTTAAGTGGTTGTTCATAGTCTCTCTTCCTACCGCTGCCGCTAGAGGCTGAATGGCCGCTAGAGGATGAACCCGCGTCAGACCCACTCTTCAATTTTTCGCAATCTCCTCTTCCTGCACTATTTTGTATTGTCTGTTTGCGTTCTCCTGGATGTTTAACGTTGAAAAGTGGTGGTTCCATCGGGTTTGAAGTGGTGGGCTTTCTAGATGATGGTGACTGAAAAGAACGTATTTCAGCCAGTTCTATCGACAACGGATCTATCGGTCTCGGATGTGTTTGGTTTGGCGAGATGTTCGATTTGTTTAAGTGTAATGTAGGGGACTTGCGAATTTCCTGTCTGTCGACTATCGTCTGTTTTGATGTTCCGCCTGTAAAATGACTAGACATAGCCTGTTCGGTGCATAGTGGAATTAAAGGGGAATGAGGATTAGACTCTCGACATGGACTCATTGTAAAACGTTGAAGGTACTCATCGGTGTTTGTTTCGACCAACTCATCGTCGAGTACATTTGGATGATCCGGTAATCCAACCTTCCCAGCCGAGGAATTGCTCACAGGGAAGAATCCTGATGTCTGTTCCTCGGTAGTAGAAGGGATGGATACCTGAGGATCCAAGAAAGCCTTTCCAAGAAAGAATTTGGTCCATTTTGCCATATCATCTGACTGATGTGGTATCCGATCCTGTAAACAAAAATACATCTTAAAATCAATCTCAGGTTTTGATGTCAAGGGACTTTAATTAAATTAACAATAAATTTGACATTCTGATTGGTAAAAACCTTTAGAGGAAAAACCCTGAGGTTCTTATTGTTTGAAATTCCCAATCGGTGGATATAGACCTGTTTGCAAAATAGAAGTTTATTTTACAAACTCGAATGTAGATTTATTTTTACCTTAAATACGTTAGCCAAGGTTGTTAAGAGTAAATTAAGAGTAAGAGGTTGTTAAGAGTAAATTTAACTTTGTTTGTTGGAAGTAAATTCGCAATCGGTAGATATAGACCCCTCACTAAAATGGTGGGGGGGGGGGGGGATATGCTCATTTGAGTACCGGAATCCATTGGTAACGGACAGATACTTAAACCACTTTTTAACAACTCGTTTGTTATTACCAATGTGTGAAATATCACGTGTGGTTTTTCTCTAAAGATATTAGTATGAGTTTTTCTAGAAACTATGTGACTTTATTTAATTCACCAATCAAAATGTCTAGGTTTTCAAACTCCAACTTATTCCAAACAACACTGTATTTATTTTAAAATTTAAACATGTTGATGATTATTTTTAAACACGAACCCAGTGTAAATGCGCTTATTAATATTTCCTTTTATACACACTTAAACATTCTAATGTTTTCTTTTCAATCTTAATTATTCTGCTGTTTGTCCAATTTATGTCAAGTAAGTATAATGGTTTGGTAGCGGTATTAAAAAGAAAACCAAACTTCTTAGGATAGTCTTGAGGGGTTTTATTTAAACGTGACATATGCATACGTAAATATTCATCATCTTGTAACATTTTACTCATATGTTTGCAAAACTCATATGTTTGCAGGTGTGGTCTGTGTCGAATATATGTCTGCTACGGGAAACATTATCATAGTTTATTTGTCTTCGTTGTGCATCACTCTAGTTCCAATTTTATTGATCGTATGGCCGGTAGGCATCGGATTAGTGTTTTTTTTTTCCATTCACGAGTGCCGATCTATTTTGAAGCTCAATTGAATATGATACACCTAAAATTGAGTCTTGTGTAGTAATGGATAATAAAGTGAAAATAAGATCGTTCAAAAATGGAATTTCTATAAATGTCAACCAATCGCAAAAGATATAGTGAGGAATAACAAGAAATGGTCCCAGCTACTTTTAGTGTTTGTGTACATTTATTTTTGGATTGGCGTTTGACTTTAAAATAAGCATTCAAACCAACTTAAATGAGATTAATCTCTAATTGATGATATTGCAGACAGATTTGAGGACAATAATATCAATGACAAATTAATGTATTGCAAACAACAGTTAAAATTAGCTGTGAGCAGGAAAATATCTTACGGTTCAATGATACTTGTGTTCTTTGTATCTATATTTTTTTAATTTCCTGGTGCTTACAAGAAAATTAAACAAGTAATTTTTTACGATGCCTCATCCTGTCTACCTAAAAACATTCACTTCTAGGGTCAATCCATCTGAAGTGATCCAATATAAAAATACTTGGTTGCTTGACCATTTTGTATTTTGACAATAATTTTATGTTAAACTTTTTATAATTCTGACCTCAAAAAAGTTTTTAAAATATTTTTATTTAGTTCCGTTTAGAAGTTGCGGCATTTTTTTCAGACCGCACACGGCGTTTGGGGGATTTGCATGCATCGCCGATAAATTAAATATTTTTCTTCAGAATAGAGCTAGAACAAGGTATGGTAAAATACTAAGGACACAGAAAAACGATCTGCCATAAGAAGAAAGGATAATATAAAGTCAAACAAAAGAAGGAAAATTGAAAAACTTAGCTCATAAGTATAGTTTGTCGGCGTTTAATTAATTCTATCGTCACCAATAAATAATCTATTTTTACATTATATGTTGTTTATTTCTTTAATATAGCCTACTATTTGAGATATTTATTTAGCACAACACAGAAAAAACATTTAGATTTTTAAAATGTAGATTTTAAAATGTAGTATTACCAATAGGTAAAACTGGAGGCAACTGCTTAACAAATTCGTCAAAAATTAGTGCTGGCGATTTTGTCAGGTTGGTAAATTTATTAATTATATTTGGAATAATTTGTGAGATAAATTTATCATTCTTTGAATTGTTCTAAAATATAACAAACCAAAAGTAAATAAAAAATACAAGATTATGCATTTTCAAATAGAGAATAATAAATAGTTTGAACAACCAAATTTCTGCTCCGACTAGACGGTTGACATCGACCATTGTTAAATAAGTGTTTGGTATTGTTTAGCGGTATGTTATCTTAAATGTTGACTTTAGTTTTGTTTATGCGGAGTTCAAATTTATGGAGGTTTTACTGTTGTGAAGCTTAAACAATAAAACAATTGTTTTTCCTTTTTATATTAACTAATGAAAAGATCTACATACCATCGAAGGACATAAAGATGGGAAAGTCGGAACGGTAGCAGCATATGTGTCCGAACGATTTTCAGATTCCAATTTTCTATCCGGGTGGGGTTCGGTGGGTGCTTCATATATACTGGAGGTTCGTTGATTGATCTGTAAATATAAAATGGAAATTATAAATCAAATAAAGTAAATACAAATAATCCTATGTTATTATATTATTTCATAAATTCCAATGATTCTTTACTTGGATATAACTGCTTTTTGATTTTTGATACAGGGAAGAAGTATTTTGTTAGTTCTATATCATGTGTTGTGCATTTTCAAATTAAGAATAATAAATAGTTTGAAAAAGCAGATTTCTGCTCCGAAGACAACTGCCTTTTATGATGTTTCCAACTTTTGACAATTCTGTGACAGGGGTTATTTATTTATATATTTTCCAAGGAAAGATTAAAACATACAGCTGATCACAAACTGCAAACATTACTGCATGTTCTTTGGTGTTTACTCGACTTGTGTTGTGGTTCATTAAGGCTAGACCTCAGTTGATTGATTTAAATTATAAACCATGGAATGGTGGAAATGGGTTTTGCTTCCTTTGTAATTAAAATAAAAAATGGAATGGTATTCCATTTTATAACAGCAAGTCAAATTAGAAAGTATAAATTAAAATGGTTGGGTATGATTTATCGACTCAAACCGAGTTTATTTTATATATTAAAATGGGAGGATTGGAGTATTCTTTTACTTTTAAGGGAGGTTCGGTATTATAGATGGAATTTAATCCAAGAATTTAATTTTTTAATATTACTTTCTGGTACTTGTATATAGATAGGTACCAATATTTAAATGTTATCTTAAATGTTGACTTTAGTTTTGTTTATACGGCGTTCATATTTTATGGAGGTTTTACTGTTGTGAAGCTTAAACAATAAAACATTTTTTTCCTTTTTATATTAACTAATGAAAAGATCTACATACCATCGAAGGACATAAAGATGGGAAAGTCGGAACGGTAGCAGCATATGTGTCCGAACGATTTTCAGATTCCAATTTTCTATCCGGGTGGGGTTCGGTGGGTGCTTCATATATACTACTGGAGGTTCGTTGATTGATCTGTAAATATAAAATGGAAATTATAAATCAAATAAAGTAAATACAAATAATCCTATGTTATATTATTTCATAAATTCCAATGATTCTTTACTTGGATATAACTGCTTTTTGATTTTTGATACAGGGAAGAAGTATTTTGTTAGTCCTATATCATGTGTTGTGCATTTTCAAATTAAGAATAATGTTTTTTTACTTGGATATAATTGCTATTTGATTTTTGATACAGGGAAGAAGTATTTTGTTAGTTTTATTTCATGTGCTGTATTATTTGGCCATACTAGTGGTTCTGATGTAATATTAACTTCAATTTTAACAGGAGCTCGACTCTTAACTTATATTTCAATATTCTTTGTACTAACAACCAGCTTTACTTCGTAGCTTCAGAATTTGTGACATATATTTTATATACAGAGTGTCCAAAAATCACAGGTTGGTTAAATATTTGTTGAAATATTTGAAATACAGATACAAAACATTGCACACAATTCTGAACATATTTAATTATTTACTATTTTTAAGTGCGTTTAAAACGTGACTTTTAAAAAATATTTATATTTATAAACTATACTTATAAATAGGTGTATTACAATATAAAACTACTATTACTTACATGGTTCATGTCGGAGCGTTGTATTGACGTTTTTTTCTTAAAAAATTCTCGGTTTAGTGTGAAATTTAATTTTAACAAACTGACAATAAACTTTTCGCCGTCTCGGCCCATCTCGGTCTCCAAACGCGATAATGTTTGTTGAAAAATTTAAAAAAATTTTGCCTTACTTTTTTTTGCTATCGTGCAGAAATTGTTGTATATGATAAATATTGAACTCAAAATGCATGAATGTTTGGAATGTACTAGATTCAGGCCCAATTTATTCAAATAAGGATTTTGTAATGTAAGTTTTTCGATGCATTGAATGTCAGCTTTTAACCCTTTTAATCCCTTAAGAAAAATATTTACATTCGTTTGTCTATCAACGAAGCCTCCTAAAGCTTCAAGATACACGTACAACTCGATGGAAAATTTATTTTCCAGCAAATTAAACCTAGCGCTTAATTGTTGAACAGAACTCATGTTCAGAATAAAAAACTACAACCCGTAGAATTTTATAAACGACACGGTTGTATTGTTGAACTGAATTGGTAGGGTCTGAGTGCGGCGTTTATAAACTGACCCACCTCACGATGAAACACCCCACCACCCACCACCCCATGACCTTACACAAAGATGAGTGTGACGGCTTTTAATCCTGCCACTCAACACACCCTCTCTTACGCGATGTTGAATAATTAAATACAGATGCGAGTGACAGTTTTAATTACACCTGCCAATTAACACACACACACTCACACACACGCACACACACACACACACACACAATCCCACAGTTGTTCGCATTCGAAAACGTCATAGACGTACGACATGCGATATGTTTTAGTTGTTCGCATACGAAAACGTCATAGACATGTGACATGCAATATGTTTTAGTTGTTCGCATTTGGAAACATCATGGACATGCGACATGCGATATGTTTTAGTTGTTCGCGTTCGGAAGTAAAACATATTAATTGAAGTCAGCTGTAGATACTATAATTTGACAGTTAAAACAGTAGAGGTTAAGAGGTAAAAGTTCTACTCCCAAAATTCTAAAGTTTTATGATTATGAGAATATTTTGATTTAAATATTTATGAAAATGTACTTATTTCCATGGAAACAAAAGGGCCATTACAATGTATAAATCTTTTTTTATGATCTTGATATGGTAGCTTTTTGATTGAAAGTTTGAACTCATAAAAAGGTTTGGATCAGGATTAATAGGTTGTTAATTAAAACTATGAGATAAATGTACAGGTAGGCCTACAGTTTTAAAGATTCTACTAACTCAATATTTACATTTTTATTTGTGTTTTAATTCAATTTACAAACTAAATTTCAACTTTACCTACTTTTATTCTGTCCAGAGATAGCTACCTCTTATACTTTCTTCTATTATCTACTTCACATTAGCTCTTTTTACATTTACAGAAATCTCCTTAGCAGTTGTGTTCTTACAACACTGCTTTAATTTGACTTTTTTGTCCTAGGGTGCTAGGTACAAGCCCAGAGTTGATTTTCATATTAATTCAGGCTAAATCTAGGGGTTACAGCATTATCACTGAAATGAAGTCCATTAGTGATTTGGCGGGATTTAAAACCAGGACCCCAGGTACCGGAGTCCCGAGCTCTAACCACTAGACCAGCTCGCTGACTATTAATATCACAAAACTAAACTGCACGCAATTAAATTTTGTTTCTAAAATCAATTAAATATATATATATAACGTAACTATGTTTCTTTACTCAATGTTTTAAATAATGATGTAAATTAATGCAAATATGTACACGTTTTGAACCATGGAACGATTTAAAATAATAACTGTTATTTATTATGTTGTTGATTTATAAATTAACTTAATGAAATTTGTGCCCTGATTAACAATAATAGTGTTTGGATTTTTAACACAAGGTAATACAAGTTTTCCATTAGTTTGTTTTTGCTTATTATTGTGATTTATCCACACTGATCTGCAGGTAAAGATTAAACTTTGAATAAAACTCAGTGGATACGGAAAAATATATCGATTATATCAAAATGAATAGTGAAATCAATACAAACTTTTTTCGGGGACTTTACCACCATATTCGTAGACGTTCGATAAGGCACTCTAGTACAGTATATCGAACCATCAAATCTAATTAAATGTAATTATCCACCGCCGTAGATAATTCCATGCCGATATGTGTTCAAATAGCTGTCATAGATCTGCATATATGTATGTTATATATTAAGGAATGCATAAAAGTCGACGTATAAGAGTTTTGCTCACTCCGTTCAATGAATTTGATTAAAAGAATAGCATACTTTTTAACTTTTCCTAGACTCAAAGTCGCCTGTGTGCGCCTGACCTAAAACCCAGGTGTTCTGTATGAAATGTCTTTAAATATTAGATTCGCAATGTATAAACAGAAAGACAACGAATTTAATATAATAAGTAATAGTAGGCTCCAGCCCCATCTCCGAACTCTCTAAGAGTCCTCCACGTCACTCGGAAAGAGGTCCTTGATGTTCTCTAAGATTCCTCCACATTATTCGGAAAGAGGTCCTTGATACTACTTGATACTACTTGAAGAGGTCTAATGGTACTCGACTTCCTCATGACTCCACAACAAAAACTTCTCGGCTTTTGGAGAACGTACTTGGCGTGGTAATTGACAACTCGGAAAGGAGATCACTCGCGAACTTTACGACTCGCTAAGGAGATATACTCGGGAACCCGAGGACTCGGTAATGAGATTTACTCGGTAACTTGACAACTAGGTAATGAGATCACTCGGGAACGTGCACTCGGGATCGTACACACGGGAAATTATTTCGCAGCAATCTATAATATTAAAACGAAACAGTGTTTTTTTATTTCACGATTCTGAATCAACCACTCGACGGATTTTCATGATTTTTGTGTTGAAAGAAAGATAATTTTGGGAACTAGGGAATGTCGAAGCCATAATTTTAGTTTAGGGTCCCAGTTTTTTTTTTAGAAATTAAGTTTTAATTTTTAAAAAGTCTAGCAACCGACGGTAAGATTCTAAACTAGCTTTTGGCATAAAATAATTTGCTTAACATAACAGCTGTAAACATTCAGCTTTTGTGTCACAAATTCAGCATTTGGATAAAAATGTAAAGACATACTTAGGGTTGACTTATTTATACTATGTATAATGCTAATCATTGATACGTTCAATTCTTCTGTAAGAGGATGACAGATTAATTTAATATACATAGTAAAATACTAGGATGTTCAAATTATTTTGTAAAGAAATCTTTGTAATCTTCGATTTGTTTTAGAGCAATATAATTTGTTTTAACTAACAGCTGGTTAGTTATAAAAATGCCCTATAGACCTATGAGGTTATTTACTCTGATTTTGTCATTGATTATAGGAAATAAATAAGATTAGTAGACCACCGAGATAAGTAACACCATCGATGTGTACAAGTCGAGACTCTGTACACGAGTTTAATAAAAAAAGTATGTAAATTATTTTACTGCTAAACTTTTTTGGAAAGGGTAGGAAAATCACAATTTTTACATGTTTTAATAATTCATCTTGGCAGCTTTTTGTTTACAATCAATGTTTTTGAATGCTTGAACTTTGTTTGGATTAGGCCCGGAAATATTGATGTCATAAAGATGGAGATCAAGAATCCTCAGAAATATGATTTTAAATTACCACCACAACCTCAGACGGGTGTTATCCAAAGATATACAGATGAATGACATAAATTGAACACAACGTCATCATTGACCTAGGATACTGCAATTAGACTAACCATCCTTTTATGAAATCTAAAAAGTGGTTTTACGTGTGTTTAGTTGTGGTTACGTTTGGAGGCGCTGAATATTTTATAGTTAAAATAAATTAATATGAGGAATTACGATGTACATTGATTCAATGATAACGGAATGGATAATAAACACAGACAGTTAATTACGTCACTAGCTCTACTACCGTTTTTACTTTTTAAATTTCTTCAACATGTGACCAGTTCTTTTGTTCAAATGAATATTATTTTTGACTCAGCTGTTTACAAAACAAACTATATGTTGTTGTTTTTACATTTCTTTGTTTACACTTATTTATTTAGCAATTGATGCAGTGAAAATGATATAAAGGATATCTGTGGACGATTCGTTTAATGATGTCAGGACACTAACGTTATATTATGTGTACTGTGAATTTTATTGGATGTTTTCGTTTTATTTGAGGGAGTTTCAATTCAGATTTACTGGAAATTGTGTATAGTATGAGTAATTGTATTGTGGTGATATTGATTATGGAAGAGGTGGGTATGCGATGGAAGGTGATATCATTGACTAGACCTATACACTTCTCAATTGATAATTACTCTTTTTACTGTAGGCTGCAATAAAATTTGTCTTTATACGTGTAAACTAGCTGTTCTGAATTATGGGCCTACACCGTTTTAACTGACTACTCCCGTACGTAGGACGGGCTAACACCTCGTACATATAAAAATAAAAATATCACATGGGCCACAATGACCTGTGCGTGATAGAGCACAGAATAAAATGTTTAAGCACACAGAATAATAAAATGTCCCGAATAAAATGTTTATTCAGGATCGGAACAAACGGTATAACGGTTTACAACAGTCCTATAAATAGTTGTGCGAACCGCTTTATATGAAAGTCAATATGAAAGGGTCGATTGAAGATTACATAAGCAACCATATACTATCAACTAATTGTCATAGTGTATTTTATACGAATTCTAATTATAAAGACAACATTTTGATTAGATTCGTCAACGAATCTTCTATATATTAATACGCAAGCAGGTTTCTTTTCACAGTCATAACTCGATAACGGTTTGACGGATTTTAACGTTTGAGGAGTCAAATTAAAGGTATTTTCACGTATATGTGCAAATACGTCTCAGTCAGTAGTCAGCAGTGGTTGAGAGAGGTTGTCTTATCAGTTTCTGTGCTGTTTTCCTTATACTGTACTGTGTTCCTGTTAGTAGGAATTTTCAAGTTTTTAAAGACTGTAAGTTGTTTT